TGTTCTACTCTGTATACTATTTACACTCTTAAATATTTAATATATTTATCTCATTACCTAATGTTTATATAATATTGTTTAATGATGTTTATGTCTTACTTTTTCATAGAGTCTATAAACTAAGTTCTTCACCGCGTACAAGGTATAATACATCAAGATCCTTAATCACATTTGAAATTCTATCAGATGGTTGTAATCTCTTGAAAGATAGTTGATCTCCTTCAACTTTTTTATATAAATATAATATTTCTGACTCATCAGAGTTAACATTATTGTTTACATTTTTTACTTTAAGTTGAATTGCAATATAATCTAATAGTCTGCCAATTGACCATGTCTTGTTCGTATACAAGGAAGTCTTTTTAGGATCGTCATTATTTCCTTTATCCACATAATAACAATCTATATAGGTTCTGTTTGCAATTGGAATTTTATTATCACCTATAGCTTCTTTCTTCAAATTGGCTAACTGGATAACTTTGTTAGATGAATTTTTCCTACTAGATACCTGTTTATAATTCTCTGATTTCTTTTTTTGGAAGAATTTAAGTATCTTATCCAAGGCACTCTTGTTTTTAATCTTTTCCTTAACTGGTTTAATATCTTTATCGGTATCTCTAAGTTGTTGTTTCACTTTTTCATTGCCTTGTTGGACTCTAGTAGAACCCTTTTCTGGTAACAAACTTTCAAAATATGCACCTCCTTTATCCCGTATATCAACTTTACCTTGATCAATAGGTTCGTTATTCAATTCAGTACAATGATGAGATTCTTGGGACCTATGTTTAGTACAGAAATCCTTATCACAGTACTTGCAATGAAATGCCAAAAAATCCAATTGTTTACAGTAGGCACAATGGGTGCCTACCTCTAGCATACCAGTTTTATCATTAGAAATATCCATTATTAGAGCAACACCTTCATAAATACCAATTCTTTATTATTGGATCAATATATATATATTCCTATAATAAGTCAGCGGTGCAAGACTAAATGAACAGATCAAGATCATTGAAGTAGATATATATTTAAGTAACCTTTAAGTTTAGATCTCTGTAACTAACGGTAAACCGTGGCTGATGATGGGGTTTTAGAATCATCAATTATTGATAACAGTAACATACTTTATTACAAGATACTATAACATTTAATTTATAGATACTTAATATATCATTGCTATATCAGAGATATCAATATAGTCTAAATTGGTAAACTCTTTCTGAAATCCCCTATTAAGTTTCTTCGAAGAGCTAATATTTACCTTTGAGGTTTAAATTAGAATGAAAAATAAAAGACAAATGGCTGTTAAGTGATTAGGATTAGTCTATCAAATTGCTGTCATTATATATGCTCAAATATACTTAGTTGCTAATATTATTAATTTTAAAAATTTTTGATCCAATAGTATATTTGGAAATGCTGATTTAGAATGAAAATTGAAATTAAAACAACAATAATGAAAACCAAGACTCTGTATAAATCTACAGGTATTCCTAATTTTACATTAATTATTGATACATTAATCGGTACCAATTGATTATCATTCATCACTGGATAAGAATCATTATTTGTATTGAACGTAATGAATATTCTTGCTTCATCACTAATAGTATCTTGAAATAAAGTTGAGTGCGGTACTATAAACCAATCCATATCGTCGATTGAAATTGGATGTATTGCTGACCAACATATTTTAATTTGATAAGTCTCATCTTTTGATAAATGCAATAGTTCTATATAGTTTGGATCTGAAGCTGATATATTTGTGTTGATAACTTTCTTTGCAATATTAACATTTTTCAATGAAATATAATCAATTGGAGAAGATAAAGTTGTAACATTGGAATAATCTAATTGTCTTGATGAAATCGATGGGAACTCATTTGAAACATGCAATAGAAAGGATTCAGTATTACCGATTACAAAATTTATTAGAAATTGAAATATTAAGAGATATTTCATTTTTATTTTTATGATATTTCCAATAGATAGAGAAATAAGCTATGAATCGGTATATTCGACACTACTAACACGAAACCAAAGCAGGATAACTACGACAGAACCAACTGTGTTAAACAATGTATGAATGATCTGATGATTTTAATCCATCAAATCAATACCAAAAGAATCGTATCTGGCAAGCCACCAAAGCTAACCTTTACTGAACTTTTTTTTTTTTCAGTCTTTTAATTATGGCAACAATTAAAGATTACTAAAAAAAAGATACAAGAGAGTATAATACAAAGAACTAGATAAAACAGCCTGATACCAACGAACAGTTATAATTAGTAAAAAACAAAACATGTCAAGACTTCATTTTAATATGAAATGAAATCAAAGCCTTGAATCAAAATAGGAAGTTACCTTACATTATTTCCAATAACAAGTTTAAGATCACTATTAAACTTTAAAAAGTAATAAATAACTCTTTTCGAGAGTTGATTAGAGACGTTTTAACCAGATACGCTAATTTCTTTTGAATCAACTAACATCAAATTGCGGTTATTTAGATCAAAAATACAGCAGTTAGTTCTTTGTTAAATTGAACTCATGATGCAACTGTTGATTCATATGAGGAATTATTACTTACTGTATTTGAGGCTTGTCAAATTCCACCCCAGATCTCTGGCCATCTCTTTGTCTATTGTACTGTTGAATGTTGAACTTGCTGCATTCTTCTAAGACAACGAACGTTATTGATATCAATAAGATCAAAGGTCAAATTCAGTTAAATCAATGATATTGATTATTATAATTATCCTTTTGAGAGAGTATTTTTTGTTTCTTGCTGCTTGCTTCTTGCTCACTAGATAGGACATCTCATGAGTTCTCTGATGTACTGATATTCAAGAGATTACATGCATGGTTCTTAAGGTTGCATTTAGAATTTTAATTTACTTTAGCTTAGCTTAGTTGAGATTTAGCTTTGGTTTTGGCTTTGGTTGGTGGTTTACGTTATGTCGAGATGAGTATTTATCTCTAATATCTTTCCTGTTTCTTGATGTATTCTTGATGGAAGGAGGTGGAGGGGATGGTGAACAGGTTGGTGGCTGACACCAACATTTAATAGGCAGTGTCTTGTAGCCTGGGATGATAAATATTCAAAGAGATTCTTATGAATGACGTATACTTGGTCAAAAAGCTCTCTAACATAGAGAGGTCTTATTGCTGTTTCAGTCGCTGTTGCTGTTGCTGTTGCTGTTGTTATTGCTATTGCTGGGGGAGTGGGATGGGGGAAAGACATTAAAGGAGGAAGAAGGATGCAAGTTTAATACAACAAGATAAACCCAAATTGATATGAGTTTAGTTTAGTCTGATTTAGTCTGGTTGGGCTGAGCTGAGGCATAAACCCTGGCGATAAATTTTATTTCGTATTCAATAATTTCTGGGATGGGTAGAATCAATAACAAATCGTTGTATCCTGTATTATAACGATTTAATTTTAGTAATAATACCCTAAAGAAAGAAAGAGATGGAATATTTTTCATTCTTGATTCTTGCTTGGCTTTATTTACACGAAACAGTTTTTACTTTCTTGAAGTTAAATTCAATTCATTTCGTTTTTTACCCTTTTTAGATCTTGATAGAAATGGCATTATTTTGATCTTTGGTAGCTAAATAGTAGAAGTTTCTTATTATGACGTCTTTTTTCATTTATAAAAGTGATTAGACTGATGTTTTCATCGGTTTTGCTATTTAGATCGTTCCATTCCTTGCATATCTATTCTTATTCTTATCTAGTCAGGTCTATTGATAAATAAGTAAATGTATATACTTTTTCCTGTTTATTACTAGATCTTATTGACTTATTATCTCTCCTTTTGATAAAATCAACGGTTTAATACATACATACTGCTAGTCAAGGATATTTAAACTTCACCCCATCTGAAGAATATAACTAGTTGTCGATATATACAATATATGAGTAAACAAGCCTTTTTTTAAGTTCAAATATCCAGTGTTTTATGAGATATATTGTACTCATTTTTTTTTAGTTTCATTATTATATTATAAGTTTTGAATTTATTTTCATAACTAACTGTTCTTGTAACAGATCTTTGTTTTTATTCATTTGAATCAAGCCATTAAAAAACAAAAAACTTCTACTATTCTATCGTTGACTCTCATTGCCAAATATTTTGCATATTTCACCATTTATAACGTTTCTATTAATTAATAGGATCCATTAATTTGCTTGAGCAACATAGCATATACACAGATCATGTTATCAAATATGGGGATCAGAAGACCTCAACAAGCTAATGAGGTGGATTTACCCGAGAGTATTGGTTCCCACTCTTCATATTCAATAGAGGACACGTTCACAAGTACCAGCAATCCAAGTACTACAAGAACTGTAAGCCCAACCCCCTCCATTTCTCAAAATGTTAAAACTAGTTTGAAAATGGCTACTTCTACAACCACCGTCAGTACTATAAGTTCAAATAATACCTATACTTCGGATACCCATCATGCTGCCAGAATTAATAAAAATAATGATATCGACCTTTTCAGAGTAATAGATCCTTATCCTGCTTTACCGCCAAGTTATGAAGATACCAACCCAAATAATAGAATCACGTTTCCAATTTATGAAAATACCAAACCTTGTACTAAAGATATAAAACCTCCTCCTTATTCACAGACCCTGTATCATTACACTTTAGTTTCTATTAAACAAGAATGGATCTCACCCTATTCCATCTCTCCAAGTAGAAATTGGGTTAATTATATAATGGAACTTAATTCAACGCAATTAAACTTTTATAAAATCGATCAAGAACTAACCAGTGAAATAAGAGGGTATTCAAATGGTGATATGAGGAAAGAAAATGGTATGCCAAACAATGGGAACCCTTTCCAATTATTTGCGACTAAAAATGCATATATTATAGACAAAGTCGAGCATGAACTTATAATGAAATCGATAGCTAAGAATCCATCCAAATATATGACAAATTGCACGATGTATAGAACATATTCATTGCAATTTGGCCAATTGGGAATTCCAACAGATTATAAGAAAAGATCCCACGTCTTACGACTACGTTGTGAGGAAAATCAATTTCTAGTTAAGTTTACTTCTGTAGATGAACTAATAATGTGGTCGATGTATATTAACATGGGCATTTCCATTTCTTTGGATCTTGATAGAAGAGAATTCCCAAATTATAGAGTAGTGCCAAGAAGAAGAAGAAGAAGGAGACACAGACGAAAGAATAAAAAAAGAAAGCCAAAGACTTTGGATGACATAAATACAAGTATTTTAAATACGAATTCAAATACCATAGGACAACATTTAAGAATAAAATCAAAAAGTCTTACTTCGATGACGAGCTCCAAAGAGGTTAGGAACAATAGATTAGATAGGGTATTAAGTTTAGATGGAGGATCACAGAACATATCCAATGATGAATCTCAAACATTCAAGTCTAAATTGAAAGGATTTTTTAGATCACCAAGGAGACGCACCAACTCTTCTCATTCCCATTCCAGTAGTTTTTATCCGCAATTTAATAGCTTGCAAGATCTATTGGAAGTCGATGAGGACACTACTGAAAACAGACAATATTTTGTTGAATCTAATTTCACTCCAACGACTATTACTAAGATAGATTCATATTCTAAGAATATATCAAGCAACAGAAACGTGGGTAATTATGATAATGGTCATGATAATGATGACCATGATGACGACGTTACAGATGCAACTCAAAATTTAAATATTTTAAGAATCGATACAATTAATTCGGGAATTACAAATGAATCTATGGAAATTGGTGAAATCCCATTTCCTACAGAAAAGTCTGAAACCTATAAAACGTTAGATCCTTTGTCTCAGTCAAACTCCGATGTTAACGAGACAGACAGTGGAATGCCAACAAGCGCTGATATCGATGACTTAGACGATGAATTGGAAGACGATGAGTTGGAAGACGAGTATGATCTAGACTCTGATGAAGAGAACTTAGATATCGAACATGATCCTGAAAGAGAAGAATCAAATGGACAATATTTCAATAACAGTGACCCCAGAAGATCTGTCTACGTAGAAGAAGGAATGTTTCAGGATAGCGAAGATGACTATGAATACATTGTTGTTGATGACCATCCAATCCATTCTAGTGGTCGTAGATTAAGATCGACTTCTAGAGTTAGCGTGGGTTCAAATGTTCCATACGGAAGCGACGATATCAAATGGAATCCTCCTATTAAAGTCATGTCTCGTAGAAGATATATTAAGGATTCCATTAGATGCATTAGAGGATTACTTGAAGAGAAATCCTGGGTAGGGCAAAGTGTAGTCAGAAAAATAGATTATCCACCTAATGAAGTCATCAATTCTCCAATATATATTGCCCAGACCAATGGAGACAAGTCAAAATTAAAAAGAACAACCAAATTTGACCCATCATCATATCAAACTAGAAACCATTGTTTGAAGGAATACCTAGTCGGCCCAGTTTCTTTTGTTAAACCATCTTCAAGGCAATACCTATTTGCATGAGTAAATGATCTAATATAACTAATTAAAACACTATTGTTTATGATTTGTACTAAACAACTTCAGTATTATCTAATTTGGATTATTGTTTTATATATGTTTATGTATGTTTACATTTTTTGTATGATGTAATGATTTTTTAATGACCTTAATTTATTCAAGAACTCAATTATTAAAATATGATCAAGTAAATATTTGTTTTGATCAAAAAACATAGCAAATCTTAATTCTAATTATATAATCAATAAAATAACAATTATCTAATATAGAATACTTCTTGATTTTAATATACATACCTTATATAATATATTTCAGTAATTATATTATACACTGAAGAAAAGTTGAGATTTAATAAGCGATGCCTTTATCTTATAGCGAAATATTTTAAAATAAAGTATAATGTACTTTGATTAAAAAAAATGAATTATTGAAAGCAATTTTGAATGCTTAAATGCTCAAGGCAGTACTTACATTGTCCTTTTTGATTTATAAATATTGAATATCGATTATTAACATTATACAATGTCTAAAAACGCAGATTTAGAGGCCATCCCTGCTGCAGAAGAGATCAAGAAACCAAATCCTCCTAAAGAAGAAGCTTCTATAAAAGGGTTCACTTGGTGGAGACGTACTTTACAATATAATACAGGTTTAGGGTTATCTGAAGATGAGAAATTGAACTATGAAAATGATTACAAATATATTCTGGAAAGGAAACAGTGTAAACAATGTTATGAATATAAAGATTGGATTTTAAAATATTCTCCAACGGTAACATTTATGATTCAACAAATAGCTAAACTAAGTGATGGGAATCCCAATATTGATGGTAAAAATTTAAAACCTTTTGATGAATCCAAAATTATTTGTGATATTTGTCCAGAATGGAAAAGTGGAGGATTCCATCCAGATTTAGGGATATTGATTTGTCAAAATAGAATACGTAATAAATGGCATCTGGAAGATACATTAGCACATGAATTGGTTCACCAATTTGATAACTTAAAATGGAAGGTTAATTGGCTGAATTTGAAACAGCACGCATGTTCTGAAATAAGAGCTTCTTCATTAAGTGGTGAATGTAGATTTGGTCAAGAATTTGCCAGACGTGGCTTTGGGTTTAAAATTGCTAATGGTCACCAAGAGTGTGTTAAAAGAAGAGCTATCTTAAGTGTAATGGGAAACCCAAACTGTAAAGATAGAGCAGAAGCAGAATTAGTAGTTAATGAAGTATGGGATAGTTGTTTCAACGATACTAGACCTTTCGAAGAGATATACAGATAAACCAAGCTTTATTTTGTTGTTCCTAGGCTGTTCATTTCCTGAAGCATATACATAATAAGAAATCTGTAAATAATATAAATAAATAAACATTTAATTACATAATAATTTAATATTCCCAATATATATTGTGCGTAATACAAACTATAACAAAACTTTACAATATACTAAAAAACATCTTATTTGCGACATGCAGTTTTCCTCAACAAAATTAAGATATAAGAAATAATGACTAAATATATTAAACCTGTAGATTAAAATGTCAAATATAATGTACACATTATACTTGGACCTGTACAGATACCAATCCAAAAGATAACATTACCAATAACTGGCCTATCCCTCAAGAACTTGGTCTTGCTCATAGCAACCAAAGGTAACTGACACATCTGTAAAAAGAATAAATAAAATCTTAACTTATTGAATATGACATACATTGCAAGTTCGTGAATAACAGAACTAATGAAAAAAGTCATAAAAGTTGCTTGAGACTTAGTTAATTTCAAACAACTGATAGAACTATGGTATACATGTCTCAATAAGAATTTGTGAACAGGAATATTCCAAATACGTGAAAAATCACTCCAATCCACACAGTTCCACCAATCACCATAGAAATATCTGTCAGCAAAACATGTTAATTCTGCAATACCATTTAGGATTGCATCCCAGATCAAGTAGAAATTTAACATATACATAACAATGAAACCTGGAACAATATCTATCAATAACATCATCCACTGTTTCAATCTACCCAAATAACCGGTCCATTCAGAATGACGAACTGCGATGGCACGCATAGCAATTGGATACATGAATGTTTGAGCAACAACCATCATAACGAAGATAATACCAAAGGTAGCAATTAACTTTTCAGCAACATAACGCCATCTAATTTTATTTGTTCTTGGATATTCTGTTTGGTAAACTAATGTTGGGAACATAGTATACATGAAGTAGTTTTGAACATTAATATTTTTTGGGAACTTCTGACTTTTATTAGATGAAGAAGCTAATTCAGTCTTACAGAAACTAATACTCTTCTTCAAAACATCGGTTACTTCTTTATCAGTGCCTTTATATCTACTCAAAGCATTTTCTGAGTATTCTAACTCTTCTTTAACGTCCCATAAATAACCATTGAAGAATGCAAAAGAATGCATCTTCATTAATAAGACTAATGAATGTAAGAATAGGAAAATTTTGGCAATCCAATGTAAATGTAGGATATTTTCAGTTAAAATGATGAAAAAGATGACGTAAACCGGTTCGTAGTAGGCGGTAAAATTCCAACCAAATTTACGCCATTGGATAAATTTATATCTACATAACCATTGAATAGCAAAAATTACCCAAATACCCAAATACATGCAAAAATCGACTAGTGCGATAGTGAATAAATCAGAAGTCATAAAATTTAAGATTTCAGATTGTGTGACACCATTATTTTGATTGTAATAATCGATAAAAGTTCTCATAGCAGAGAATGATAAAGCCATCCAAAATAAAACGTAAATACCCGCAAAACTTGATTGTTGAACTACACCATTGTTACTTAATTTCTCCTTTTCTCTTTGTTTCATAATTTTTTCCAAAGTAGGACCATTAAATGATTCTTGATAAGGAACATTGATTGAACCATCCAAGATAGAAGGTCTTTCTTCGAATTTAACATCGTTGAAGTAAGAAACGAATTCTTTTGAATCACGTCTATACCTTAATTTTTCCTTACCATGTAAATGTTTAACATGACTTTGTATAATACGTTCTTCGGTCCCAGGTGATTGAGCCCTTGATATTTGTTTTGATAATTTTTTCAATTCAATTCCATCTTCATCTTCTTCTTCATCTTCAATGGCAACATCATCAGAGGTCAATTCACTTGGTAGTATTTTATCTGAAATTTCAGAGCCACTTGCCACAGCAGTTGCACTGCTTTCAGCCAGTTTAACTTCTTCTACTAAGTTTAGAAAAGAATCATCATCATATTCATTGTCTGAAAGGACAACGGACTTTCTCTTTGCAGCACCATCTTCAGCATTAAGCTTTCTAATTCTCAAGAACTTTTCGTCCTTCAAGAACTCGTTAGGCATCTTAAAATCCTTATAGTAACGATTTTTGATATCTCTATCTTATTTGAACAGATCAAATAACCAAATAACTAAACAACCAGAAAAAAAATATGTATATATAACTGAAATACACTCAAAATCAATAATTTCAATAACCAGGTATTCTACAATTCCCCTATATATATATAGATGAGATCAGGTTATAAATTGCTTGAATAAGTGTAATAGCCAGCCAATTATCAAAACTAATTCCCGAATCGATATCGATGCCAGATCAGATCAGATTGAAAAACACCAGATCAAGTTGAAAAAAGTGAAAAAAAGCTCAACGATAGTAATGAATCAACTAGAATTAATTGACTTCGACTTCAGAAATTCCTTCAACAGAATCAAACACAAGTGTAAAAACAGGAAGAGATGAGTAGTGAAGTACACGAACTAAACGAGAGATAATATTTTAAAGTTATTAACGTAAAGCAGTGCAAACTTAAAACCAAATCAATTCAGAAAACAGAAAAAAAAAACCAGAGACAAACCGTTAAAAATATGGAAAATTAGATGTACAGCAACGATTACAATCGGTAATTTGTTCTATACTCTTCTGATTTAACCTAACTTAGACTTTCTCTTCAGTAGACGCTTGGATCAACAGTTTAGATTTCAACGAAATAAGACTATTCTTGATCAAATTTGGTTAATGATGTAGGTACCCTTTTCCTAGTTTAGACTAAATCAGTAAGGATCAGTAACACAATGACAATAAAAATTTAGAAATTATAACACAACTAATTTTGTTATATTTAAAAGAGCAGTGACAATAGATATAATTAATTAGCTTTAAAACCAGCTTAATATCTGTATAAGTAACTATGGAACTGTTATATTATAATAATTACAGAGTATATGGATAAGAAGAATATTTTAATAACTTCACTATTTAAATATAGTTACTTAAAATTACAAGTTTATATATTATATATATCTTAGTATTATTTTTGTTCCCAAGAACCTCACCTGTTTTACTACATGAATTGTAATTAAGTTAAATACTGTTTTTGAGTATAAGTTCTTTATGTTGTAAGGTTTAATACTGTCTTGCTTTTTTAAGCTAATTAGTTACCGGTGCAGTTAAGGTTGAAACTCTTTGACAAGAATTCATTTTACCTTGGATATCTTTTCTTATTCACTATATAGCAAATAGGCCCAAGTTTCTCTCTTATATCTTATCCCCTCCCCAAACAGTTTCCCCTTCAAATCACTAAATAAATCATGGATTGCAGAAGGAGGTAAAGGGTTATTGAATATATATTTGGACAATATTTTAAAATGTTGGTCGTTACTAAGACATGGAGTGCGTGTGTATGAATATTCGTCTGGATATATTCATAAGGGGGGAAGGGAGGGAGTGGTAGTAAAGGAGATGGCAAGTGTCTTAATTATTTCCTGGAAAGAGTAATAATTATATTTCCAACCAAAAAATTTCCATCGAAAGTAGGTATAATATACGGTGTCTCGTAGTTGTTGTAGTTGTAGTGGCAATATGTTTCATTTGACCACTTATTCGGTGGGACTCAGTAGGCTTCAGTTAGATTTATCTTTTAAATGGTTGTGAACAAAAAAGTTTTTTAACACAACTCCTTCAGAGAAATACACGCACTACACCAATCAGTTTCTTTTTTTTCGAGAAACATTAATTAGCATTCTCCGTGGAATTGCTATTTTTGATATACCTGCATATATGCTAAACGCAAGTTAGCTAATTCATTTCGAACTTTGAACCTACTTCGAAGTTATGTCGGCTATTGATCTAAGATAAATGATCTAGGATACCATGGATGAGTAGTGTCATCCTTTATTAATTCCAGTTCCATGGTTTCTGTAGTTTGAAATAGATTATGTAGTCTCTTCTCAACTATTGGGCCTACGTAATTTTTTTATTTTTGTTAATTAGCGATTGAGAATAAGATAAGTACGTTGTTTTACAAGTTGAATGTCTTTGCATACTGAGAACCAAAAGGACGCGGTAAGTTGGATGAATTCAACAATAATTGATCTTTGTTTCTGAATCTTTTCTATATTGTGAAAACGATATAATGCACTAGATATGAGTTCACTGTTGTAGCTGTACTCATAAGGGCTTAGCTGTCTAGCCAGTTTTTTTAGTTTGCTTTTGATTTCATTTGAAATCGTTTTTCGGATGGAAAAAGAAAGAAACATATATATATATATCTTCATGCACGTGATCATGTTAGGCCATGATGAACTATGGAATACATATATTTTAATTTGATTGATCATTTTGGTGGGTTAACAATTCAGAAATGAATCGATAAAATCTGTGAATATAATTAAATATGCACATTTTATATAGGAAACCTATTTACCTGCACGCGTTACCATAGGAACGAACGGATCTAGTACTAATGCAGATGAAGTTAAGCATTGCATTACTTGCCCTTTTTTTTGCTTGTCTAAATAACGCTCTATGTAAACTGTCAGCTTCTAAGAGACTTAATTCTTCTTTCAAATTGATTGATTCTACTCTTTTTGTAAAATTGCTTATAGTCCAGGCTAATGTCATCACATTTTTATTCGAACCAGCAATGGTAATGGTTTCTGTCTAAATAGAGACACATAATTGTCAGGGTAACTTTATTTTAAAACATCGTTTCCCAATTTGTTGTCTCCGAGAATTAATTCCATTTGGTAATGCCGTCATGGTCCATGTTTCAAAGCCTATGTATTGTTTCAACATAGCTTCATACGAATTAGTAAAGATCTATGACACCAGATAATACGTGGTATTATCGTTGACACATATAAAGACTAATAGTGACTGCTATTTGATTCAATTGTATATTATTGTAAATTATTTACTTACTTTGTACATTAGAAAGAAGATATAGAACTCTTTAATAATAAATATACTTATTAACAGTACTAGTCTACTACCAAACAGACGAATAGAATAAACACTACCAAACATTTATTCAACGTACAATTACTAGATATCTATAAATTAAGAATTCACAACAAAGAATACACCTACAACTTTATATGTCTGCGACGTGTTAACGTCAGTACATTAATCAAGACTTTATTCGGAGAAAATTGTTAATAATACATGCATACATACATTCATATATATATACATACATGCATATATACATATATATTCCTTCATTATTGCAAACTAATTCTAAACTTGCAATATCCTCAAGTGACCGTTGAATCTTCTACTCTAGAAATAACTATTTTTGTTACTTGATTAGAATTACGTCATCAAACTTCTCTTATCTATTGACATAGTGAAAAAGTTATCGAAATTGAAAAAATATATCGATACCTACTTGATAGTAAGTATAACTAGATATAATTAATGAAACTTGTATTATCAATGATTGTCAAAAGGATCAGATTTGAATATCAATATATAATTAAATTGTGAAAATATTTTGGGTTAACTTACACTGTCTATACCATTTTTTTTTTTAAAAACCTTTCTCTCCCTTCCCCCCCAAACCCTTCAATATTATTAAGATATGTGGATATATTTATTTTATATATTTTCGATAATATCGAAAGCCATTGCGATAGAGGATAAACTGGCAACTTGTGACCTTTCTCAGGTAGGTCATTTGATTAAAAATATTAATTACGATACTGAATCTTTAGAATTATGCAATGACTTGAAAAAACAAATAATTTCAAATTGTAATGACAATGGTAATGCTATAGAACAACAGAAAAAAATAGAATTACTTAATGAATTGTATTATAAGGAAGGTCTGATAGAATTATCATTGGGTCATGAATTGAAAGCTTTAGATAATTTTAAATTGACTATAGAGTCAGATTCAAAAGATGCTTATGTGGAATTAGCAAAAAATAGAATATCAAAATTATACCGTTCATTTGGTCTTTGGAATGAGAATAACACAGATAATTCAGATGACCATGAAATATATAATAGATTAATACAAATCATAGATGTGAAATGGAATTCAAATAAAGATGATAGAACAATTGACAATGATTTCAATGAATTATTCAAAATATCACCTTATGATATTAAAATGAGGAAAAAATTTATTGATGTCTTACTATACAGATTATCAAAATCGATCGATATATCTGATGCGTATTATTTAACTAAATGCTACCAAATTCTAATTGATAAACATTCCACAAGCGTTACCTTAGAGGAAAGATTGAACTGGTATTATGCGATATCAACCGTCCAAGTAATATTATTAGGTATCGATTCAGTCTACTTAAGAAAATGTTTAGCCATAGATATGGATTATCAACCTTGTAAGACATTATCTATTTTACAGTCAAAATTGAAAAAAATCAATCCACCAAAATCAGATATTTTATCTTCTGACATGTATAAATCTTCAGATGGGAATTCCATTGATTGGAATACAGTTGTTGATTTCTATTTGCAAAGTAAAAGACCTTGTCTGAAAAAAATGGGCGATCAACCTTTCATTAACAATTATAAACTAATATCAGAATTAGTGGAATCATCAATAAATAGACTATTAAACGGCGGTTCTTCAATTTTGCATGTCAGTGATCCTTCAAATGCTGAACTTATAAAATACATCGATGTATTATTATGTCAAGCGTCAATCGAATCTCCTTCTGCTAAAAGTTTAACGTCTAGTTATTGTAAGAAGGCATTGAAGGAGGTTTTGACAAACGAACAGTGGGATTATTTTTATAAGTCTTTAACCAAAGGAGAAACTTTCCCAATTGATGAATTAAGAAATATTTGGAACTCATACCCTCACCTAGGAACATATTTAATTGCATCTCTTTTAAAGAAAGGTAGGAAAACTCCAGAAAATATACAAGACGAAATCAATAAGTTCTTCAATGATAACGGTGTGCGTGATGCTTCTAATCCTTATATTAAGAAGCAAATTGAAACAATAGATAAATTGCTTGAAAAAAAGAATGCAAAGTTTAGAGAACAACAACAGCAACAACAACAACAAGAATGGTTCTTTAACCAGCAACAGTTTAATCAACACCAGCATCAACGTCAGCAACAGCATCATGCTCCACCTCCACCACCTCAAGATCATACGGGTAAGGACTATTATAAAGTTCTAGGTATTTCTAAAGCTGCCTCATCTAAGGAAATTAGAAAAGCATACCTAGATTTGACTAAAAAATATCATCCCGATAAGCAAGGTCAACTTTCTGAGAAAGAACAGGAAAAGATACATGAGAAGATGTCACAAGTTAATGAAGCATACGAAATATTAAGTGACGAAGGCAAGAAGAGAGATTATGATAACTCAAGAGGAGGTGGACATGGAGGACCTGGTGGACATGGAGGAGGAGGAGGAGGAGGATTTGGTAATTTTGGTAACATGTTCAGGGGCCGTGATCATGGTAACCCATTCCAATTTGGTAAAAATGTAAAGGTCAAATTTGGAGGATTCGGTAGGTAATTAATATATACTCCAATTTATAATAGATAGATTTTGCATAAAATTAAATTGATTTTATTTTTAAAAATAATAACACCTTAACACTTAAAAAAATACTGTTGTTAGAAAATTCACGAAAAGCTAAATAATAATTACATATTCATCCAATGTTCATTATATTTCATTAATAGACTTTCATTAGCAACATTGTTTAATGTAGCATTGGTTTGACGTTCTGGGAAACCCTCAAATGATTTAGCATAAGTAGCAACAGAATGGGCAATTAATTGTGTGTTGACCATAAACGCTTCCATGGACAAGTTAGAGACATCATCACACAATAAATGATAACATTTATCAAGGACACCACCATTAAACACATTATCCTTTTCAGCACCGGCAGCAATACCACCAGCTGGAATACCATTTTCGATAAAACCGACGTAATCAGATCTACCGTCAAATGGGATTAAGGTATAATTCAAGCCTCTAGATTTATAATAATCAATGTATAAGTTCTTTAATTCTTCAGAACCTTTCGGATGGTCTTTATTATTAGAATCGTAAACTTCATATTCGTAGTTTGGTGATGCCATCATGTCGTAATCCATGAAGACTCTCAATTTTTGATTTTCAGCTGGGCTTAAAGAGTTGGCATAATAGTTTGAACCAACTAAACCTTCTTCTTCAGCAGCCCACCATGCAAAACGAACTTTATTATTAACTTTATAATGAGAAAGATGTTTGGCGACTGTTAGAAGAGAAATCAAACCGGAACCGTCATCGTTAATACCAGGTCCTTCTTCAACAGAATCGGAGTGTGCACCTAAACCTACAATATTTTCAGGATCACCATGAATAGTATCAGCAATTACATTGTTAACCTTGATGTTTTTGACATATGCATCAACATATAAAGATAAAGAATATTTTGGATTATTTTGAACGCTATCCAAGATCGTTCTACCAACTTCATTAGTGACACCAACAGTTGCAATTGAATTCTTATTTGGAGTTCCCAAAGTCCCACGTAATCCACCTGAGGTTTTCTTTTCATTGTCATAAATGATGACTGCATCGAAACCGAATTTACCTGCCAATTGACTCTTGACAGAGAAAGGACATATACCTCTTTGAACTAAAGCAATTCTTTTTTCACCTTTACCAGATTTACCAGATTTGCCAGATTTGTGACCTTTATGACCTTTACATTTCTTTTTACTCTTTTTCATATGTTTTTTTCCATCTTTAGCATATTGATGATCATCTTCCATGGATTCAAAAGTAAGTTCAAAATCAGATTTTTCACAACCCATATTTAAAATTGGGATAACTCTACCTTCAAATTTATCAACAGGTGGAGTTAAATCGAAGGCTGTAACGTTTTGGAAAACTTCCCCAGTAGAAGGGTCAACTAATTCAAAAGAATTGACCTTGCCCATAGCAGTCTTAAAAGATTGTAGTGAAACTTCGTAATAATCTTTCATCTCATCAAAAGCATCCAAAAGGAACTTGATAGTTTTACGATGGCCTTTGGAACCAATGACACGAGTTGGATGACCAAAAGTTTTGTTTGAACTTTCAGCAATTCTGTAAAGATCCCAAGCAGTTGCGTTTAGTTCTTCAACAGTAATTGCATCTTGTAATTTTTGACTGTCAACGGTTGGTTTGAAAAAATAAGGCAAATGTGGTAACCAATTCTTAAAAGAAGGTTCATTGGATTCAGATGCAGCAGTAGTCAACTCTTCCAATTGAGAGGACAAATAATCATCTTCTAATCTAAAAACTTGTTGAATAAATTCTGGTACTACGATAGCATTTGCTAGCCCTACAGCTAAACCCAAAGATACTAAAACTTTCATTATGAAACGAATGAAGTATCAATTGCTTTATTTCTGTAAAGTAATAATATACCAGATACTATCACCCAACCTATTTTAATCGCAATTAGAAACTTTATAGTTCTAAAATTATCTTGCTCATTATATATTAATTAGTCAAAATGAATGCAATACTCGGGTGAGTTCAAGATTGCAGGGAAAGTGCGGGTAAAAAAATGCAGATAAGAATATGAAATATAATTGCAACCAATGAGTATTGAAATTAAACGATCTTTGAATACTAAAACAGATCCTATAAGCAAATGAGGTTTCTATTGATTATTAAATCGGATTATATTTGCAATTTCATGTAATAAGTCTTGCATTTCCCTTTTTTTGAACAAAGGCACTGATTATTTAAGACAGATATTGCGAGCGGTAATGCATATCCCAAGTAATTAATTAGATGCATACAACGCTAGAATCAATAAAACGTGTCTTGAATCATATATCTATATCTTCATTAGCTTGGGATGAGTCGTTTGATTCTGATGCAGAATGTATTTCTCTTAATTTATCCATAATGCCAACAATAAATGGTCTCAATTCGTTAATTTCTAATATCGAAATGTTATCCAATTGTAAATGAGAATTGTTTAAATGCTTTAAACCTTTCAACACTTTTAATTGTCTAATTTCCCTTAAATCTTGTATCCTTGAGCGTAACTCATGAACGGGATCATGGAAGTCATCAGACGCTCTTTTGAACAGTAATTGACATAGAACTAACCAGTTCCATGGAATTGAACTAAACCTATCCAGATATTTCTTTTCATATTGAATACTCTTATCCAACTCTTTAATGGTCAACCATTTAGGAGCAATAATACTACACTTGTTCTGTTGTTTTAAAAGTAAAGCCAACCACAAAGTTACCTCTGTCGATTGCATTGCTACCATATTATTCAGATTATTTGCATCAGTAGTGATCAACCTCCATTGATTAGAGGATGACTTATCAGAAACCGAACCAACTCTGCCACGAGCTAATTGTCTAGTTGTAATACGTGGGAATATCTTTATAGGTTCATTTTCCACAATAAATTGAATCTCTTCCGGAGAGAAAGTCTCTTGTAAATGAGCAGGTAATGACATCTATCAAACACAGTTACAATAACAATCTCTTACAATACCTAATCCTACACTCAAGAAGAAAATCTGAACTCAATAAATCATCCAAAATCAATACAATTACTCTTAAATACCTTCACAAATCAACTAATAAATGAAAAATTTCGATATGTTTTCATCGCGATGGCTCTTCTTTTTCACCAATTTAACCTAGTAGTCGAAATTTCGATATCAAAAAAAAATTAAAGGCTTTCGAAGGAGAAGTTGATCAAGTTCGAAAGGTCATCGCTGGTAATAAGTTGGTGAAAAGCTTATGAAATATTTATTCAATGAGGGTTTAATTTTTAGTATCACCTGTATAATTATGAGTCATCTCTATTTTGAGTATTTATAGTTTTTAAAATAACTGAATTTTGTTATAAAGCTTACATCAGGAGACCAAGAGGTGAAATTCGAAGGAATAATCTATCTTCATCTTTTATATAAAGGGAGAGAGTTTGAAGGAGATCAATTATAGGATATAAAAGCAGAATTGCAATCTATAGTAAAAAAAAATTTCTGGGAATTAAATATTGAACAGATTTAGTCGGAGGAGTGTCTCAGTTCTTGTTGTTGTTCTACTTGATTGACGATTATAGTCACCTTTGTTTTTACTTCCCTTATTTTTTAGTATATTAATTTGGCACATTTTAGTTTTGAAGCAGGAGAACAGAAACCAGATGTGGAAACACTTACTTTCAGGAGGTTTAAAAGTTGAACAACAAAATGCTTCTGCCAAAAAATTAATCCTTTCTGTTTTGAATTCAACGGCAACCAAACGTGAAGCTAGAGATTACCTTACAAAATACACAAGATCAGATGATTCAAAACAATTGAATCATTGTCTTCTATTAATACGTCATTTGAATTCGTTAAGGCAACATGAAATATCAGAATTGACCAGTACAGTTAAAAAATTAGGAATGTTGGGCTTAAGGCCAATTTTTGTGATACCCCCATCTCGTCACATTGCTAAACAAGCTGAAATATTAGATATAATCACTACTTTAGCAGGATTCAGACCTTTACAATTACAAAATTCTTTATCTCAATCAATTGACGGGACTTATACTTCAATTTTATCTTCACAAAATGCTATTTTGAATAATCATGAGTTAGAAGTAGTACCTATTTTAAAACCTTATGTTTACAGAGAAAAGGATGCGTCTGAATTTCTGACTAATGATTTTACAAAGTTTATGCAAAACCTTTGTAAAGGTAATAATACTCATATTGATAAATTTTTCATCCTAAATAGAATCGGAGGAATACCTTCAAATGAAAGAAATGAAAACTCTCATGTATTTGTAAATTTGTCACAAGAATATGATTGTTTAAAAAAAGATCTGAAAGGTCAAGTCGACCTATTAATTGAAAGAAGACCACGTACAGAGTCATTATTGCATAAATTAGAATTGCATTTAAATGAGGATGCAATCAATACCTTAGAAAATCAATTTAAAGAGCATTTACAAGATTTAGAAATGATGAATGTAGTTTTATCTAACCTATCTTCTTCTGCCACTGGGTTAATCACTACTATTGAATCGGCGGCATCTTCATCAGAAAAGAAAAATCCGCTGATTTATAATATTTTAACCGATCGATCTCTAATTTCCTCTTCACTACCAAGGTTCAAAAAGATTAGACATACTCCTCCTTCTGGAAGTAGACCAGCCAAGAAATTTCATAGAATGACTTATTTGGAAGACTACCAGCAACTAGATAAGTCATCACCTCCGGACTCCGCCCTAGTAACAACCGTTTTCAAAAAAGGTATCGATATTAAGATATTCGACTATCCAAAACTAACTCAATTCAACTCTCTGTCATTACCTGTAGAATTCCGTGTTAAAGATAGTCCTCAAACAAATCCCTTACATAAAATCGATCTTTCTAAATTGAAAGGTTTAATCGATAGAAGTTTCAAAAGATCCTTAAATCTAAATCATTATTTGCACCGTATTAATGGTAATATAGCATCTATAATTGTAATAGGAGATTATGATGGCATTGCTATTTTAACAAACGAAGGACCCAACGATAACCCGTTTGTCTATCTCGATAAATTTGCAATTTCTCCAGAAATGAAGGGTTCTTTGTGTATTTCAGATATCATATTCAATTTAATGGTCAAAAAATTTCCAAAAGAGTTACTTTGGCGTAGCAGAAACGATAACGTTGTTAATAAATGGTATTTTCAAAGAAGTGTAGGTGTATTGGATTTATCAATAGATTTGGGTGATGGCAATCAAACTAAAAGTAACTTTAACTTATTCTATTATGGTGAACCTAAATCTACAAACTATGGATTTCACAATTTAGCACGATTAAAAGAATATGCTAAACATATCAGAGACATCCATCCAAGTTGGGATAAGTGAATAAAGATAAGTATACTTATTTCATTTATGATATACTTTGGCATATTGGTAAGCATAGCATTAGACATTATTTAGGCATTATATATAAAAATAATGAACAAAACACTTGTACATAAATTTAATTATGTTAAATTTAATCAGAAGCAATATGAATATTGTTCTTCAATGAAGTCCCATTCTTGCAACAGAGTCTCTATTCTATATATTCTTCTTGTTCTTGGAACATTGTGTCTAATGGCAGTTCCGAAATCATTTATAGAATCTGATATATCATACCAGTTATCTATATAGCCAATGCTCTCTTTAACAAACTGTGTTGGTGATATAGTAACTCCAATCCAATGCTTTTTGTACCAACCATCATACCCACTACATAAAACACTTGTTCTCGTTAATTCACATAAATCAGCTGCATTTAGTAAATATATACTTGCCGCCACACTATATTCTTCAATAATTGGTTCAGATGTATATGAATTGTTAAAAAGCAGTGATTTACATGATAATGACACGGGCATCCCCAGTTGAAACATTTTCATAAATGGATTTTTTCTATAAGTTCTCTTCTCAATTGTGGTGATGTCTCTAGAAGGTTGATGATTAGAGATCAGATTCATATCAAATTCTGTACTTAACGGGTTGATTTCGGTGGCTATTGTAGAAACGGACGATAAAGGTGAAGAAATAACAGGAATTTGGAATAAATAAAATAAATATTGTAACGGTGCCGGAGCTGTCCACACTGGCTGACCTTGCAGCAAACCACCATTGCACAAAAGCAAATTACAAACCAATGATTCAACTTGATCATTGAAAAATAAAGTTCTTCCAAACTGAGAAGTTCTGCTTTTAGCAGATGGGCAACCACTCCTTAGTGTAATCGTACTTTGCTTTTGACAGTGACGAATACTATTTAATTTGGACAAATGTTCAAAAATATAGTACATATAATAGGCGACAGGTGGGTTATCGCCTTGTGCACTCCATTCAGAAGGTTTGGTACATACTTCTGTAAATTCTTTCCAGATGTATGCATCCGTATTCTCAACAACTAAATCCAAGGAACAAATATTGGCTAAAAAGTATTGTAATTGGATATCATTCCCCAATGTTTTATTAAATAAAGGCTTGAATATAATATCGAGAAAATTTTCAAAAGTGTGAACTCTACCTATGTTAAAAAGATCTGTATAAATCCTTGATATTCTAACATTCCAACGAACGTTGTATGATACTAATCTCCACTTCATTATCCAATTCGAAAACCTCTCCCACCAAGATTTTTCTTCCAATTTATGAAATTGGAAGTCCACAGAAATCTGTGTTAGTAAATATTTGTTAGTCTCTAAATGATTAATCACGTATTTAATAAAAATTTCTGCCAAATATTCACCTTCCATATAATTATCAAATTCAAGGAAAACCTTAGCAAGCAAATAAAACTTCAGTTGTTTCCCTTTAAATTGCTTTTCTGCTTCATCAGATGGGCGGAGATGATAATTGCCTAAATATATATTTTGATACCATTCTAGGAATTCATCGTCAATGACTTTTAAGCCTACTGCAGATGGATTCTCTTGGGGATCACAACCAAACTCAAATATATTTAATAAGCTTATTTCTTTCCCTGATTTCAATTTATGAACAATTCTATCTGGTTCATTATTAATCTTTTCCCAGATAAAATCACATAATTGTCGTCTATGTACACATCCACTTAATAAAAAGTTTCTATCAACTTTTCGACAGTTATAAAAATCCCTATATGGTACACGTTTATTTTCTAAAATTTCAGTTTTAGATTTTAGATGTTGGAAAAGTTCGAATTTATCTAGTAGATAATCTAATCGTTTTTCTGATATTTCATTTAATACTGGCGACTGAATGGTCTTGACTAAAAATTCGAAATCTTTTTTAAAATCAGTAAAAGATGGAATGTCATCAGGAGTCCAATCCAATGCCTCTGCTTTATGTAATTCAACATGTTTATCATATTTTTCTTTATAGTGATTGATATCAAAATATTGACCGGTATATTTTTCGTTTGAGAATGGTGTAATATCCTTACTATTGCTTGATGGAAGAACTTCAGGAGCTGTTGAAGCATAAAATTCTCTATCTTCATCTAATGGGTAATAATAACCCTTTTCTAATGCATACCTTGTTTCAGAATTCTCATCACCTCCTGTTTCTGTAGTATATTTATAGAATCTTTTATCTTTTTCAAGTCTCCAAAATTTAGGTAATGGTTTTGGGTATAAAAACCACTCATCCAAATTGTTTTTTATATTGGACTTGCTATCCTGTACAGATGATAGAATGTATTTGGCACGTAATGATTTTATTTTTTGAAATGCATTAGAATCATTTTCGGTTTCTTCAAGTTGTAAATTTGAGGCTTCTTTTGGTATGGAGGTTGATTCACAGTCTTTCTTTGTCTTTATGATTTCTAATGGCTGCTCTGATTCATCATTTCTTATATACATTGGTGAACCAATCATCATTTGATTGTCAAATCTTGTATCCAGAGCTATCATATCCATGTCATCAATAGACAATTTTTGAGTATTGTTAATAGGAGTTTGTTGGGTAATGGAAGCTTGCACAGTAGGCATTGACATTGTATCTTGATGGTCATCATATAGAAGTGACGCTTTCCTATTTCCTACTTTAGTCATTGTGAATCAATCAGTTAGGTAATTGAGTCCCTCGATTTCAATTTGTTCCAAAATAATATGTGCGGGTATAATTGTAGAACAATGATTCCTATCCAATTTTCTACAAAAATGTAATAAATCAGAATTGATATTAAATAAATGATCAATATTAAAGCTAAGTAAAGATTTTAGCAAAAGATAAAGGAATGTGTGTTATTTTATTATTACCACTGTCGAAATAATAACGAAGTAAATTACTTTTAAGCTTGATATTATCGTTTCATTTATTTAAACTGTCCAAATTTCGATTTTTTCAAAAACCCCTGATTTGTATCCGCATCTTTAATTGTGTTTCATTTAGCAATTGTGAAAAATGAAAAACAATGGTGTAGATAAATTGAAGTATGTAATAAATTTATTTATTTGATGGGACATTTTGATGAATGATGGCTATAGGTAAATCAGTTACTTAATCTACGATATACCTTTTCCCAATTCTTAGTTAGTTTTTTATTTCTTCAAAAACATACGAATTTTGTCATATTTTTTACTACACTGATAACACGATCTAATCACGTGATCGATGGACATTAAATATTTAATATATTAATGCCCTAAGATTTAATACATATTACAATATTAATCCATGTTTCAACAAAAAGTGACTCGTAGTTTATATAGCTATATATTTGATAAAATTTTGAATCTAGTCTTTCTTTTCTGAAATCCGATGAACCGAGGAATAGTTATTGGCGGCTAAAACAACGTGTTTTAGAGAATGTATAAAGTTTGAGAAAAGGCAACCAAAGGAGAATATTTTCCTATTTGAAAGGATATAACCAATGATATTGAATTACAGTGTTTAATAAGTTATTTTTCCCACTATATTAGCATATATTTGTGAACCGTGAACTATTCTCCTTCGATACTACTCAAATGGTGCAACCTACCAAAACAGGAGTGATTCTCACACACTCCTGTACCATTTCGATCCAAATAACAAGTACTATGCCTTCTTAAGAACAACCTAGAAGAATAGTTATTTTTTCAGTGACTAAATTTATTGAAAGAGTCAACTTTCTCAAGAAACTTTTCAATAATTTAACCGCTGATTTGTATCTATCTATCTATCTATTTATATAAACGAAAGATAAAATAAAAAAAATTACATACCCTTAATATTTCTTTCTCTGTTAGCTCAAGAGCCACAAAAACCCCAAAAAAGGAAAAAAACGAAATATCTAAAAATAAGCAATAATATGTTACCGTTTATTTACCCGACCCTCAAGTACACCGGTCATTAGCTACGGCATAAATGGTCTTCTTTTATTACTAGTGAAACCCTCTATTAATTAAGGTAAGAGTTCAATACGAAACGTATAATTAACTACAATGAACATTAGCATCAGCTACTATAATACAATTCATATATAGATGGTAAGATTTGTCAACGAAGACACTTATCTACCTAGAATCAATCTTTTTACAAATAATTATATGTCACTTTAGTCACCACTACTCCCTTCTCCCCCCATATATAACTTGAATCTAAACCTACGTAACTGAATTCACAAGAGATAGCAAACCTGATAATCAGTTAAAATACTACAGATAACATAAATTTATGAAAAAGACATTCAGTTCCTGAATACAATATGGAAAACAATAAACAAAAAATATTGTGTTATAGCACATTAACTGTTTAATTATTGTTGCTGCACTGTCGCTGCCGCTTCAACTAACATATTTTTTTTAACGAAACCAATACAATAATCAAAATAGCTAACTAAACTGATGCAAATATTAATTCATATTATACGGAGTGTTAATGTTACTTTTGATGTCGTATTCTTTATGATATAGTACTGATGGAAACAGTAATCATATCTCTCTCTCTCTCTATGTCTTACTTTTTCTTACTCTCTCTCATTCTTCTTCATATATAGATTGTACGTCGTAAACTAATAATGTACCGTTATTATTTTTTATTCTACCGACTGTGTGTACTTTTGATGTTGTTTGTTACCAGTTTTTTGCTTCTTAGCTTGGCTGCAGCGATTGGGAAGAAAAAAAAAACTTTTTGAATTTTGGTAGCGTCATAAAGAATGATGAAAAAAAGTGGTGAAAAATTTATCATCGATTCAGCATCCACCGCCAAAATTCTGTCTCGGTGCTAATAATTCAATTAAACCTTTGACATCAGTACGACGTATTGAAACTTTTAGTGTTTAATTCTATAGATAATTCGAAATTGAATTGGGTTTGGATTGTGATTTGATTTGTATTCTTGAAGTTTTTGTTAATTCAATATTATTTTGGAGTGTTGGTTAATTGATACTTATTTGTTTCCTATTAATGTTATAGTAATTCTTGCAATAGAGAAGAGAGGCTTCATTAGTACTATAGAGGTACCTATCCAGTTATACGCTTTCACAATACTTAAAGTAAAGAAACGTAGTGTTCTTTAGGGTGGGAAGTAGTTATTAAAGAATATATATATATACATATATACCATAATGGCTGGTTTCAGTTTGATTAATTTGGTTAGTCCAATTTTACCAATTTTACCAGAAGTTGAAGTACCATTTGAAAAAATTCCATTTGATGATAAAATTGTTTACACAATTAGTTGTGGTTTAATTTATTTATTGAGTCAATTCCCATTAGCTGGTATTGCAAAAGAACCAACTACTGTTTTGGATCCAATATATTTCTTACGTGGTGTTTTTGCTGCGGAACCAAAAACATTATTGGAATTTGGTGTTTATCCAATTATTTCAAGTGCTTTGATCTTACAATTGCTTGCAGGTTTAAAAATAATTAAGGTTAACTTTAAAGTTGATAAAGATAGAGAATTATTTCAAAGTTTAACTAAATTATTTGCCATTGTACAATACTTCATCTTAGCTAACATCTTCATCTTCTCGGGTTACTATGGTTTTGATTTAACTCCTGTTCAAATCTTAGTATTAAACTTACAGTTGGTTGGTGCTGGTGTTTTCGCAACTTTGTTAGCTGAAGTCATCGACAAAGGTTTCGGTTTTGCCTCTGGTATTATGGCAATTAATACTTTAGTCATTGCTACTAACTTTGTTGCTGATATCTTCGGTGTTACTCAAATCAAGGTTGATGAAGAAGGTCATACTGAACCACAAGGTTCTTTGATCAACTTAATCCAAGGTTTCAGAGCTAAGCACAGAACTATTTTAGAAAGTGTTGTTAATTCTTTCAACAGAGACTACTTGCCAAATTTGACTTCT